TTGATCTCTTTATGGCAGCAGCAGAAGCAACTCTTCACTGAGTGCTTGTCCCTGTGGGGACTCATTATTAATGAGGTGATTCTCCACTTTGCACAAAACCAAAAGATTCTTCAGTGTCCATAGGTCCGTGACTATGCTAGTATCCCCTCCTGTATTGTGAAATGGGAGTATAAGGGACTGAACTGATCAAACCACATCTCCAATTCCTTCCTATTGCTCATGGTCAATCCACCATATGTGTGCTCCCAGAGCACTCTGGGGACAGTTGTCTTCTAAAGTAATTAATAAAACAACCACTGTCACAAGAGGGGCTCTTGCTGGCAGGCCCACTACAGCTGACACTAATTGCCCCCCTTGCTGTCAATCTCTGCTGCGAGGCCATTGATTCAATGGGGGCATGGAGACTAAACCGTCCTTTCCGCCTCTAGGAAAGGAACATGTTGATGGAGCTGTGTGGAGAAAGCTTGCACTGCTGCTGCTACATTGTCCTTGCTCAGTATAACCAAAGGACTTTGGTATCTAACCCTTTCTGTTGCGCAAAACTCAACTCTGTGCACAGTGCACCCTCGAAATGACTCTTTAAAAAAATGTTCCCGTCTGACTCCAGGGCTGAGGTTTTCTTATTTCTTTTAAAGCAATGAGCAATTTAGAATGCAAACTGCTGCCCAGCTAGTGGTGTGACTGTAACACAGGAAATAGCTGGCATGAACGAGTAATACGGCGTCTTGCTCTCTGTCACTTTGAATCCATCATGGACTTTCTCACTGGCTTCGTTGCTACACTCAGAACAGGGTTTTAGCAAAGCAGGTCAGATGCATGGTCTCCTCCCATCCACTCACTAATTGACTGGAAATGAAGCAATGGACAAGACACGTTAACTGTGTGATTTCAGGCTCAATACTTCAGTGGTGCCGGATGGTTCTGGGGTCACAGTAATTAAGGCTAATATGTTGTTAGAAATCTAACAGTAGCCTTGATTTGGTGCCTCAGATCAGCCACCTAGTGAGGTTTAAGTGCCTTTAAAGAGGTGGCTGGTATAAGGAATGGATTCCCAGTTATGATCTTTTCTAAGTGCATATATAGTATAGTGCTGTAGGGTTGTGTCTCATGAGTCTTGACCTAGCACTAGCTAAATTAAAAACTTGCAATTTAGAAATTACAGTTATATTGCCTTATCTTGTCTGTTGATCCCCCCTCAATTTCCAGTACAAGGTCATGAGTGACAGGGTTTGAACCCAAAGCAATTTGTATATCTCTTTGCTTAGATTTGCTGTTCATCTATCTGCATCTATCCATCTATCCTCTTCCCCGGGACCAGGCTGGCAGCTCCTGGGAGCCTGCCCAGTTCCGCAAGAGGCGGGCGCCCACCTGGTTTAGTGCGGACATCGTGGACCTCATCCATGACCTCCGCACTAGGCACAGGAAAGTGGCCGTTTAGGGCAGGATAGCTGCCAGCCTGGATAAGAATGGCCGTACTGGGTCAGACCAAAGGCCCTTCTACCCCAGTAGCCTGTCTGCCAACAGCGGCCAACCCTAGGGAGCCTGGAGGGGATGGACTGAAGACAATGACCAAGCCATTTGTCTCGTGCCATTCATCTCCAGACTTCCACAAACAGAGGCCAGGGACACCATTTCTACCCCCTGGCTAATAGCACTCCATGGACCCAAACTCCATGACTTTATCTCACTTCTCTTTAAACTCTGTTCTAGTTGTAGCCTTCACAGCCTCCTGCAGCAAGGAGTTCCACAGGTTGACTATTTGCTTTGTGAAGAAGAACTTTCTGTTATTAGTTTGAAGCCTGCTACCTATTCCTTTCATTTGGTGTCCTCTAGTCCTTCTATTATGGGAACTAATGAAGAACTTTTCTTGATGCACCCTCTCCACACCACTCATGCTTTTATAGACCTCTATCATATCCCCCCTCAGTCTCCTCTTTTCTAAGCTGAGAAGTCCCAGTCTCTTTAGCCTCTCTTCATATGGGACCTGTTCCAAACCCCTGATCATTTTAGTTGCCCTCCCCTCTCCCACCCTCTCTCTTCCCCTCTCCCACCTCCTTTTCCCAGTCTCCCCGAGTTTTGTTCAATAAAGAGAGTTTCTATTTTTAAACACACGTGTCCTTTATTTTGTACATCAGGAAGGGGGGCTACGGAAGGGTAAGTGGAAGGAGGTGAGGGAGGAATGGGGTACGAGCCCCCGATGGGGAGGACTGGGCTGGCTTTGTGGCCTCCTCGGGGTGGAAACTCTCCTGAAGCCCCTCGATTGACCCCCCCCTCCGGATGGCAGCCTGCGGCAAGTGCAGCCGGGCTGATGGCCAAGTGCTGTGATGTGCCGAGTGTGGGTACTCAGGGCATTCCAAGCCAGGACTGCTTTGCAAGCGGGGAACCCCTGAGAACTGTCTGTCCGGGGTGGGGGTCGGGTACCTTTAAGCACAGCCCTCGGCTAGCCTGAGACAGCAGCTCCATGCTCTAAGTCCTAATCTGATGCCCTGCCGGCACTGCTCGGTTCAGGGTCCACTCAGTGTGGACATGCTAGTTCGAATTAGCAAAACGCTAATTCGAACTAGTTTTTAAGTCTAGATGCACTAATTCGAATTAGCTTAGTTCCAATTAACTAATTCGAACTAAGTTAGTTCGAATTAGTGCTGTAGTGTAGACAAACTCTATGAGAGACTTGCCTAGCATTCACAGCGGGGAGAGCCCATCCTACACCACAACAAGAACACACTGTACCTAGGCTTCTGAGCTAGGTGGTCTTATTTCGCCACCTTCAAAGTGCATAGATCTTTGATGAAGTGGATTCAGTGGCTGTTTTTGGAGGTGACTTTTTTGGGAGCTTGATCAGGCTCCCATGGTTCAGTGGTTGAGGGTGATGTGAAAACATTTGTTTGTTGGTTGCCTAATTCTATGTCATTGGAGAATGGACATTTACTGCCCCAGGAACTTGCCTTTGCAGTCAAATGGGAAGTAACATGAATAGTGTAACTTTTGTGGGTGGTAAATAGACAGTTTTTAATGGCTCCAACTGTCCATTGGCAACCAGAAGAACATAAATATATATATATGGTTATATACCATCTCATAGAGCTGGAAGGGACCTTGAGAGGTCATTGAGTCTAGTTTCCTACCCTCACAGCAGGACCAAATACCATCTCTGACAGATTTGCCCCAGATCCCTAAATGGCCTCCTCAAGGATTGAACTCACAACCCTGAGTTTAGCAGGCTAATGCTCAAACCACTGAGCTCAAATCACTGAGCTATCCCTCCTCCCGTATTTGATACAGGGGCATTTTTTAAAAATAACAAATGATTGTTATTGCCACTATGTAGTGATAATGGCCTGGGGTGCTTGATGTTGTTTCTTTTATTGGTATCTCAGACTTGTGGAGTAGAGAAGTGATAGTGTTTTTCCCCTGTCTTCATGCTTTCCCACCCCTTGATTGTGCTGTGATAAGTGGACTCCTGCGACGGTTGTAGGAAGCCTTTCATGATCTGGCATTTTCTGTTGCTAGTGCCACTCCTCATGCTTTGGTTTTCTGTATTTTCACTTGGTTGCACAAGTTTTTCTATATGAGGATTATTACCTTTCTGTACATGTTTGCTGCAGCTGGAGCTGAGAAGAGCTCATCCGTGGTATCAAATGATGCTGTACCATATAGATATTGCAGAATGTCAGCCAAACCAGGCTGATGCTCCTTAATACGATAAGTCATGGTTTCTGACAGATGCTGGCTTATTGGTGCAGTCTCCCTGTTAAGTTGATGCTGCATCACTTTTAAAGGTGTCATCAATGGGAAAACATGGAATCAGTTTGGCAGCTGGAATTCCTTAGGCGAACTGGTGAGCACCGGGGCAACAGCAATGCATTCTTTGAAGCAGAGCTCAGTTTAGTTTAGAGACAACCTTTGCAGATTTCCAGTCACATTGACTAACACCCTATCCTTTCCTTGGTCCTGAGCCAAAGCCCAATGAAGACAAGGAGAGTCTTACTACTGACTTTGGTAGGCCTTGGATCAGGTCTTATGAAGGCAAATGCCATCAAGGCACTCTTGATGTATTGAGACTGCTTACTCACTGCACACTAAGGCATTTGTGACAAACGAGATGGGTCCGAAGCAGAGCCAGCCACACATGGAGAGCAGGTTGCCATGTGCACACACATACGCACACACACACACACACACACACACATATAAGTTGGGTAGGAATTGTACTGTCTCAAGAGAGAATCTCTTCACCAGCTCCTCTTGAGTTGGTGTGACCCCGCATCATCAGATGAAAGGCTAAATATTGTCCTTCTCTTAATACAGTACACTATTTTTGAATAATAATGTAGCCTGTTTGCTTAAAATCAGGGTTGAGGAATTTTTTTCGGGTCAGGGGTCACTGACTCACAGGAAAATCAGTCAGGCAGGGAGGAAGTGAGGGCTGGAGCACCAGTGTGGGCCCTGAGCCCCGGGGGCCAGATCCAGGCAAGACGGGGACTGCATCTGGCCCCTGGGCCTTACGTTTCCCACTCCTTAATATGATAAGGATAATTAATGGGTAGCAGGTTTAAAACTAATAAAAGGAAGTTCTTCTTCACACAGCGTGTTGTCAACCTGTGGAACTCCTTGCCAGAGGAGGCGGTGAAGGCTAGGACTATAATAGAGTTTAAAGAGAAGCTGGATAAATTCATGGAGGTTAGGTCCATAAAAGGCTATTAGCCAGGGGATAAAATGGTGTCCTTGGCCTCTGTTTGTCAGAGGCTGGAGAGGGATGGCAGGAGACAAATCGCTTGATCATTGTCTTCGGTCAACCCTCTCTGGGGTACCTGGTGCTGGCCACTGTTGGTAGACAGGCTACTGAGCTAGATGGACCTTTGGTCTGACCCAGTACGGCCGTTCTTATGTTCTTATGTTCTTATGTATCACTGGGGAATCACAGTCTTAGTTTAGGAGGGCAAATTACAAAATGGGACTGCTCAGACATTGAACTTACAGACATGTGTTGTTTCCTGCAGTAACCTTCGACCACTTTGAAATTTTGCGAGCCATTGGGAAAGGCAGCTTTGGAAAGGTAAGCACCTCAAGAGCAAAATTACTGTATGCCCTATCGAGACGGTAACTAGCCAAGTGATGGGCACATCAAAGAGGCTTCAACTGGAGATCTTATTGTAGAGATGTCAAATATTGCTTATTGATGAGACTTGACCTGAACTTCAACTCCTAATAACCCAGGAGGAGTCTGACTCATCATGCATTTGGAATCCCCAGATTCTATTACAAGATGTTAAACTGCAGTTACTGATAAACCCAATCAGTAGAATGTCAGTATGTTAGATGGGTAAACATCCTCTGAAGGGCGACTCTGGTGTGAAAGCCTACTTAAGCATACTGGGATCTCCTGGACAAAGCACTACGATTCTCTGAGAACAGCACTGTAGGGAGCAGACAAGCATCTGTGTTTGAAATCCCACTTTTGGAATTTGAACACCATTTTAGGATTGTGGGTTTTTTCACTATGGTGATATCTGTGACCAAACCTGTATCTGGAAAATGCCCAAAGTGCTAGAAACATTGTGCCGGTCCTTATAGATAGCAGACTATGTCCCACTAGTACTCAGAAGTGCCCACTTCAGGGAGTGCAGCTGTCTCAGTGAATTTCCCTCAGTTTATACCCTTCAGCAGGGCTACTCAACTTTGGAAGCCCTGGGGCCACAATGAAGCTTGTGGCACATGCTGAAGGCCACAATATAAGTGTGATTGCATATGCATGCAAATATATATGCAAATAGCTTCTTTCACACTGATGGGCATAAATACAAGGATTAAGGCAAGACTACACAACATGCAGGGCCCATTTGAGTCACTTAATAAAATGCAATATTTACCCTATTTCCTCCCATATGACAGCACTTTTAGGCTACATCTAGACTACAAGCCTCTTTTGAATGAGGCTTTTTTGAAAGAATCTTTCGAAAAAGCCTCTTTCAAAAGACAGCCGCTAGACTACAAGTAGATTTTTCAAAAAAGCGAGCTGCTTTTTTTGAAAGAGCGTCTAGATGCTCTCTTTCAAAAAAGCACAGTTTGCATTCAATAGCACCTTTTTTCAAAAGAATACTTTCGAAAATAGGCGTTATTCCTCATAAAATGAGGTTTACCGTGATCGAAAAAACTGCTGCATTCTTTCGATTTATTTTCAAAAGAACACGGCTGCAGTCTAGACGCAAGTGCAGTTTTTTCGAAATAAGGCTACTTTTTTCAAAAAAACCTTGTAGTCTAGACACACCCTTAATGAGCAATGACAGTCCAGGAATTTAACTACTAAAATGCATATCAACAGAAAACCATTATATTGACTACTTTTTTGTTTTGGCTCCCACTGGCAGGCCGCATGTTGAGCCTCGCTTAAACCTTATCTGCACTGCAGACCACAAACAAACGGGCTGCGGGTTGCATGTTGAGTAGACCTGCCCTACAATCCTGCTTGGAGAAACAGAGGCTCAGGGAGCAGCATGCAGCACATGTATGATGGATGTTTGAGGGAAAGCAGAGATTTAATGTTACCTGATAAACCTGCATTTCCCCAACTTTACTGTGACAAACTTTGTACCCTAACTATGATTCTTCTTAGCATGAATATTGAATGCAGCGCTTACTGGTGATGTGCAGGATCAAATCCTAAGTACATTGAGCTGTGACTTAGTGACATGAATCTCATTGAAGTTAACAATAGGATGTTCATAACGGCATTTCAGTTGCACAAATTTGCTTTTCATGACATTTCCCAGCTATTCTGTCCAAGCTAACCTCTTTGTTTGCTCACTTAGGTCTGCATTGTACAGAAGAATGACACCAAGAAAATGTATGCCATGAAATACATGAACAAACAGAAGTGTGTGGAGCGTAATGAAGTGAGAAATGTGTTCAAAGAACTGCAGATAATGCAGGGCCTGGAGCACCCCTTCCTGGTTAATTTGTGGTAAATCATTACTGCTTTATTTATACCTTTTCTGTTTACTAGGGGCCTGCCTCTCCATCACTTCAGTTGGAGGTTGCCAGGGCTATTCAGTAGCTCTGAAAATGTAGGAGTTTGGGTTTTTTTTTTAAGATCCCTGTTTATAAAAAAAATCTGAGTTCCTATTATAAGTATTTTTTGTTTTCCTTGTGGATATTTCCCAGGGGGGTGTCTGACTGCCAGGTAACCCAGTTTTATTCGACTCAGCTCCTTGATAAAAACATCTGCTTTCATTTCTAGCTGGAAATACAATTGAACTTAGATTCAAATGGTGTTCCCATAATGGGGTCCCCTTCCTGCTCCTATTTAATTGAATAGCTGCCCACTGGCCTGAGGCAGCAGGTGCCCAGTTTTATTTCTCTCACAGTGGAGGCTGCCATGTCTTGTCTGGCAAACCACAAGTGCAATAGATTTTTGTCCTGAGTTTTCTTTTTGCTTTGAAACAGTAACCTTTTGGGCCCAAGGTCTTTGGTGGACATCAAATGGGTTAGACAATCACTGACTTCCCAGACATATAGTGGCTAAATATCATCTTTAGAAAATTGACATGATATGCTTCCTCTGTGGCATTTATAAAGCACCAATTTTCAATGAATGAAGCTTGATCCCCAGAGAAGCAGAGTGCCCATCACTCTCATTGAGTTCAACTATGCAGGATTGGGCCTCTCAGGCTATTAAACAAGCACCAGCCCCATGGCTGGGATAAAGAAACATTGCTGTCTTTTAATGCAGTGTGCGTTAACTTCCTGTGCTAATGTGATTGAAAGTTTAAAGGACTGGATATTATTCAAACTGGCTCTATCTTGGCAGCAGATAACCAGAAATCTAATATAAAAGAGTGGGGTGGAAACATGCATCATCCACTAAGTACCTTGGGAGATCAATCTTAATCTCGATCAATGGAGGGCTCCTTCTCTTCTGTCCCTCCCTTTACTCCCCACTGCCTCACGGTTGCTATTTTGTGGCTTAGTCTGTACCATCAAAAGCTACCCTTAAAACCTTACTGATAGTTGCTGAACCAATGCTAGTCAGCAAAGATAAAAGCTTTTGTTCAGTGGATTTAGTGACACAAAAAAATAAAAAATCCACCACAATTCAGATTTTAGTTCAGATCTCTCTTTGGGAAATATGTGCATAAAAGAGTCTTTTTCTTTTAAGCATGTTTGATCAATGCAGCCTACACAGTCTGTTTTCAGTGATTTGCCAGCCATCAGAACTGGGATTGATCAACACAATGATAGAAGACACCTTAATCCCTCTATCTTCATTTGATTCAGCACATTTTCCTGCATCAGCAGAGTAGAATGAAGGTTTAAATAAGGCTCTATTACTGTTGAAGCCAGACAATAATTTTATTTGGACATCAGTAATATTTCCAATTGTTAGGGGCTTAGCTATCATGTGACTTTCCTTTAATTACATAGCAGCTTAATAGAGTCCATTGATAAATAACTAGAAGGTCCCTGCAGGATACTGGATAATTACACTTAATTAGAGCTAAAGGTAATTTTCAAATGAGGTAAAACATTCAGAACAAACCAAATCCATACGAATGTTGCCTGGTTACCTGGAGTTTTGAGTTGAAAACCTACCGAGGAGCACAAATCTTTGACTGGGTTGGATCAGAATGGATTCTGAGTCCATTTATGGTTTTCTATTGAAATCCTCTGAGAGAGGTAATTTCAGAGCTAAAGCAGGTGAAATGTAATAATTCTGAACTCGACGCAGAACTCAGCAGTGCAAACTTGAGTAGATTCAAATGAAAGATGATGTCTGTGCATAGCCTGCTCCGAAGCAAAACCTCTCAGTTTCTTATTTCTTTCATAATTACGGTCACCTCCAGCTTCCTTGTGACCACACCCCCAAAATGTGACAGCCGAGCTTTGCTTGTGATCCATGAACCAAATTTTTCACTGGATTATTTGGGTTGCTCAGTTTTGGTGATATTTGTTATTCTATCAAATCCGCAAGATGACAGCATGAATAGCCAGTAGAAGGATGCTCCCCACAGTTGATCAATAGAGTTGTCTTTTTAGGGTACTTGTGAAATATTATGTGATAAATGAAGACATCCAGTACAGCTACTTAAACTGGGGTAGTAAATAACATTGGTGTCCCCTCACTATCTGATCCATTGGTGCTACGCTATTAACCAGCCCTTGGAAATCAACCTCAGAAAATGCGTGTAAATTAGTCATTCCTCTACAACCCCAGACTTGCTTTGTTGTGTCAATTGTGATTTTGAGTGCAGCTGGGTATACCACCTTATAGCTTCATGCTGTGTTATCTTCCTGCTTTTGATAGGGTTCCTTGGGTCTGCACAGGAGGACACAGGGTAGCCCATCATAATTGGCAGAGTGAAGCTAAGAGCACAAGCACTGTCAGTTCAGAGCTCAGGCCAGATTGCTAATGCCAGATCGTGTATCCAGTAGATACATCAGCAGGGGCGTGACATGCTTTTGTGGGGAAATGGCATCCCTTATCTCCCCTCAGGCTTCCTAGAAATAGGTGTATTTGGGGACAGTACAACCACTCTTCAATTAGCACCATCAAACAAACTGCAGTGATGACTTGTAGGCTGTTTACAGGTATTTATATTATTCCCTAATGCCTCCTGAGCAGAATACGTGCAGAATAATTCCAGTAAAGTTCTCCAGAATGAATTTCTTAAGAGAAAACATTTTATTAGAAGATATAGATTTGCTGGCATCAATTCCTGACTACCGGAAAAGAAGGAGCAAATGTCTATTGCATTCTGCCTGGGGCTGTAGGAAAGGGTTGTGTAGGCAAAGCCTCCCAAACTAAAGGTGAGTTTAGGGTTTTACGTTGAACCTAAAACAGTTGCACAAGCCATAAATGTGAGGCACATCTAGCCCGTCCGTTCAGTCAGACCAGCCCCGTTATCTGAGCTGCCCTCTGCCAAGTCAACTTGCTCCCTCGTCCCCTCACCATCTTGCCTGGCTGAGAAGCAAGGCCACCTCCTACAGCCTGTGGCCTCCTTCCTTGCCCTCAGTGGACACTGGGTAGCCACACTCTTAGCTACATAGTTCAACTTCCTCTCCCCCTCCCAAAGGGAGTAGAAGCATTTGAAATGTCACTGTTGTTACTACTAATGGCTGCTATGCTGCAATAGGGACACATATATAACCTACTCACCTGGGCCGAAAACAGGGTTTGAACCCAAGAGCTACCCTAGCACATGAGCTACAGCAGGGGTGGGCAATAATTTTTTTATGGGGAGGAGGCACTCCAAGAATTTGTAAAGTGTTCAAGGGCTGCCCTCTTTCATGATATTAATGGAGGTGGTGTGGGTCTGGAATAGAGGTTGGGTGCAGAAGGGGGCTTGTGGTATGTGACTAAGGTGCAGGAGAGGGTGTGAGATTTGGGGGGAAGTTTGGGTGAAGGATGCGGTTGTGCCTTGGGGCAGGAGATTGGGATGCAGGAGTTTAGGTTGTGACCTAGGGCAGGAAGGGGTTTGTGACCTGGGGTAGAGAATTGGGACACATAGTCTAGGAGGGGGCTATTGGTGCAGGGGAGGGGCAAAGGTTAGGGATTGGGGGCAGGAGTGAATAGCAAAAAAAGGAGATGCAGATACTTGTATTTAATCTACTGGTCATGTTCTTTAAGCTAATGCTGCCAGAGAGGTAAAATATAAAAGTGCTGGTACTACTTTGTAATGCACCGGGGACTTTGCCAAGGATTTGAAGAGTGATTCTCCTAATGTGGATACACACACATGAAATATCCAACATCCCAACCGAAAGCATGTGGAAAGACAACTTTTTATGGCTGAAGAGTTAGTGAACAGCCATTGGCTTTCTTTTTTAATGTAAACACCCAAGTTGTCCTGTACTGCTGTGCAGACTATAGAACCCTGAATGAAACAGTGTTATCAAGCAACAGCTGAATTACTCATCTCTAGTTAGACTTATCTCTAACAGACTTCTTTCCTAACCGAAATGTTTAGGCCTCCATGAAGCCAATCTGAGTCACAATCCCATGTTGCGAGTAGAAAAATAGACATGCTGCAAAACTACCTTAACTGGAACTCTCATTGGGAGTCCCAGCAGTGCCAAGGACTGAAACCTCCTCTCTAGTAGATAATGTAATCAAAACAGCTTTTGGGGAAGAAGGGAGGGAGGATTTGCACTGCTACTGCCTGTTCATACATAGTTTTGCAGCCCAGTACAGGACGGAATCCATCTGAAACTTCTTGCAAGTTCTCGTGGAACTCCTCAAAACACTCCTCGTGGAATGAGGAGTAATGGTAGTTTGAGTTAGGATCTTTAATTCGAACTACCTACTTACTCCGTGCCGCGTGTAGCCGCAGGCACGGAGTTCGGACTAAGGGGGATTTAAAAATGGCAGCGCCCGGGAACATGCAAATGAAGCCCAGGATATTTAAATTCCGGGCTTCATTTGCAACTCTGCTTGCCCTAATTACCCTACCTCGCTTGAACTAACGAGCTAGTGTAGACGTACCCTGAGGGACAAATACATTGGTTTGTGCATTATCATTTGTTTAACTGCTTAGTTGAGATGGTCTTAATACCTTTATGCTTTGGAGCAGGGACTTCACATTTGGCACGATGTGACCTTTGTGTCAGGGATGTGCCTTTTGTTATAAGACTTTGGAAAATCTCAGTTCCTGCGTGCTTGATCAAGACTTGCTAGAATTTGCCCACAAAAATTTGCAAAGAACATTCAGCCCTGAGTGGCAGTGACCAGGACGGAGCAGGGCTTTCTCTGCGACTGTTTTCCTGGCTAACATGAGCCATGTTAGGAATTAAGAAGTTGATGTAGGAGCCATATGAAATCAATGCACTATGTGCTTATATTCCTACACATAACTGGTCAGCAGCAGTTCATTAACAAAGGCCGCATAGCAGTTCTGCTGACTTCAGCGTTGATGTTATTCCAGAAACTAAAGAACACACAAATAAAGGCAAGCCAATGTCAAATCCCATGATTAAGAAGTACAGCTGAGGTTAATCTGATGGTGTGTATTTAGAGGCAAATGGGAGGGGACATTTTAAAAACGGGGGATCCATGTTTGCCAAATGGAAAAGCATAAACTGTTAAGAAAAAATGTTCATTTCTGAGTTTCTTTGGAGCTACTGGAGAAAATAAAACTGAACCCCTTCCCCCCCCAAACATTTCTCTATATCTAATCAAACATGCATTTCCATTTGAGATTTCTTTCCTGTCTGTAAAGACAATAGGCTCATGACCTGATCGCAGGCAGAACAATTGCTGTTTACTCTCAATGCTTTTAAAAGAGACCGAGCTTTACCCTGAAATACCTGCTTTTTACTATATAAAAATTATCCCTGTAGCTAAATATTTGAAACACTTTTTCATCTGGAAAATGGCTTTTTAGTGCTTTTTATACACAACTTTCCTCTGTACTTTATTAATTGTCCTCACAACAACACTATGAAGTAGGTAGTCATTTAAACAATGGGGGAATCAGGCAGATAATTTAGATGACTTGTTCAAGACTACAGGGAGAGTCAGCATTAGAACAGGAATGGCTTTCATTCCCAAGGTGAGACAGCTCCTTCTGGTGAAATTGGATTGTACCTTTCTGTTTAAGAAAAAAATTGGCATGTTGTTGCCGTTTAGAGTATCACCTCTGATAGCATCTATAACAAGTAGGCTGTCTTTTTGTTGTTGTTCCGAAATGTACACAGCATAGTGATGTGGGACTCTCTGTGTTCTAGTGCCAGTATTTACTCAGGGGCACCTGCATAGTATGAACTGCTGCCGTCTCTCTCTCATTGAACATAGTTAATTGGATAACCAAACAGATGTGCCCAGATCAATCCAGTCATGAAATTGCCACAGAAATGTAAATAGAAGTTTGTGTAATTCAGCCATAATTACACACACATATTCAGGGATAATAGCAGACCACAAGTTAAAAATGAGTCAACAGTGTAACACACTTACAAAAAAAGCAAACATGATTCTGGGATTCATGAACAGGAGTGTTGTGAGCAAAACACATGAAGTCAGTCTTTTGCTCTACTCTGCACTGATTAGGCCCCAGTAGGAATATTGTGTCCAGTTCTGGGCGCCACATTTCAAGAAAGATGTGGAGAAATTGGAGAAGGTCCAGGAAAGAGCAAAAAAAATGATTAAAGATCTAGAAAACATGACTTGTGAGCAAAGACTGTAAGAACTGGGCTTGTTTAGTTTAGCAAAGAGAAGACTGAGGGGAAATAGCAGTGATATCAGTTTTCAGGTATCTAAAAAGGTGTTAACTAGGAGGAGGGAGAAAAATTGTTCTTGTTGGCCTCTCATAATAGGACAAAAGCAATGGACTTAAATTGCAGCATGGGAGGTTTAGGTTGGACATTAGGAAAAACTTCACTGGAGATATTTAAGAGCAAGTTGGATAGTCATCTATCAGGGATGATCTAGACCAGGGCTACTCAACACGTGGCCGGTGGATCACATGGGGCCCGCGGCCCATTTATTTGTGGCCCACAGTGTGATTTGAGTTTACGTGGGGCTCAACACGTGGCCCGTGGGTGGGATCCTTTGAACATGGCTTCCACTAGGAACACGCTCCACAATGGTGAGGCATCTCCCAGATGTGGTGAGCATTGGAAGAAGCAAGTTCATGGGTACAGGGTGTTAGCATTTCTAGCCCCAAGGAGGAGCTGCGGGGAGTGCTGGGACATTGTGGGAAGTGCTTTGTATTCATGCCCGTCAGTGTGAAAGAAGCTGTTTGCATATATTTGCATGAATATGCAACCACCCTTAAGTTGCGGCTCTCGGCATGTGGCCCCCGGGGCTTCCAAAGTTGTGTAGCCCTGATCTAGACAGTGTATAGTCCTGCCATAAGGGCAGGGGACTGGACTTGATGATTTCTCAAGGTCCCTTCCAGTTCTAGGATTCTCTGATTCTATGCAGTGTGCCTCATTGAAATTAAAAAAACACACTTTAAAAAATAACAGTATTGTCAGGATCTCTTCAATTTGTTCAAAATGTTTTCTTTCCCCTTATTCCCTAAAATAACTCTGGAAGTTTGAAAATAAAATCTGCTTCTTTATTGATCTCCCCCTTCCAGCATTTGTGAATTCCCTAGCACTAGTCTGATTTGTGGTTTACGGTTGCTCATATGCATTGGATTGTTGACTCTGAGTATTACTTTCTTATTTAGAGATAATGACAGCTATGAACCATTGCTTTTTTCACAAAGACCTATATAAAGATGTCAGAAGATGTATAAAGAGACAAAATCTTTATCAGCAATAGTTTATGGTCCCAAATCTGATTGGTATTAACACTATGACCTTACATATAGTATCAAACACAGACATTGATCTAATTTTAAAAATTAGGGATCCCGTCACATGTGATACTGAATGCCTTCAGCTCAACAGGATTACAAGAGGTTCCCAGCACCAATCTGGATTTGGCCCATAGTCTATGTGTAAACTGCAGATCGACTCCCGAAGCTGGTCCATGTCAGCTGACTCGGGTTTGAGTGCAGAGCTGTTTCACTGCAGTATACACTTCTGGGCTCAGGCTGCAGCCTGATCTCTGAGACCCTTCCACCGCACAGAGGCTATGTCTAGACTGCAGGCTTCTTTCGGAAGAAGCTTTTCCAGAAGAGATCTTCCGAAAAAACTTCTTGCAAAAGATCATGTCCACATTGCCGAAGTGCATCGAAAAAGTGATCTGCCTTTTCAAAAGATAGCATCCATTCAGTGTGGATGCTATCTCGCATTTAAGCTGTGATTACTATGGATGGAGTGGCCACCAGGGTACCTGTGCTTTTTTCCTCTTGTTTCAAAAGAACTCCGTCTTCCCCCGTCCACACACACCTTTTTCCAAAGAGCTCTTTTGGAAAAAGGCTTCTTCCTTGTGGAAAGAGGTTTACCAATGTTGGAAAAATCCCTCTGTTCTTTCGATTTTTTTTCCGAAAGAACGCAATCGCAGTGTGGATGTAAATGAAGTTTTTTTTTCAGAAAAACAGCCGTTTTTCTGAAAAAAAACTCTGTAGTGGTAGACATACACAGAGTCCTAGAGATCGGGCTCCTGCTTGAACCTGGAAGTCTACACTGCATTGAAATAGTTCGATAGCCCGAGCCTTGCGAGCCCGAATCAGTTGGTATGGGCCAGTTGTGAGTCTCTAATTGCAGTGTAGACCTACCATAGGTGTCTGTATAGCAGGGGTGGGGAACCTTAAGCCCGGGGGCTGGATGCAGCCCCCAGCTTGCTTGGATCTGGCCCTCAAGGCTCAGGGCTTCCCCCCCAGCATTAGGGAGCCCATGCTAGTTCTCCAGCCCCCTTCCAACTTCTCACTTGTGTGCCGCCCCCGACGGATTTTTCTGTGGGTCAGCAGTCCCCGACCTAAAAACGATTCCCCAACCCTGCTGTAAACTGTAGTATGGTCCAAACATATGACTGGGAGTGACAAACCCTCACATACAGATGTAGCATTATAATAATATTGGTCATATGGAGCTATAGAGGGCTGTACTTCCAAACACTTTTTCTTGGAACATTACCCCTCCTAAGTCTGTAACGTGGTATTTCTGCTCTCTCAGGTACTCATTTCAAGATGAGGAGGACATGTTCATGGTGGTGGATCTACTTCTTGGCGGGGATCTGCGTTATCATCTACAACAAAATGTCCGATTTCAAGAAGGCACCGTGAAACACTTCATCTGTGAGCTGGCATTGGCGCTGGATTATCTCCAGAGCAGACACATCATCCACAGGTTAGTCATGGGCTTCAAAAATGGGTTGATGCTGACACATTATCTTATGGTTGAGGCAGAATCAATGAAGATCATTTGTTTTAAATTGTATTTATGAGAAAAAGATGTTGGTATGTTACTGTATATCTCTTGAGTCACAGTTGCTAACTTTACTCATCTTTGATACTATCCACTAAGTTGAGCAGGAGAGGCAAGAGCTGATGCTGGGGGAAGCCGGCTTAAAAGCTGCTTCCCCCTGCACTGCCTCTTCCCTCCCTCCCCCTACCCGCGCTACTGTCTCTTTTAGAGGCAGCAGCATGGGAGGAGGGGCAGAGGAGGCTTCTGCAAAGCAGACTCTGTCTAAGGCTGGCCCAGGCTCACAGTAGACAGAGGCTGCTCCATGGCAGCAGCCCCTGTTTGAGGGGAGGTCTGAGGTTACCGCAGACAGGGGCTACTCCTCTGTCCATACGGAGCTCAAACACCCCCCCCCCCCCCCCCGACTGCTGCCTTCCCTTCCTGCTGCCTGTATCAGAGGCAGCAGGCGAAGCCGGTCTGCTCAGAGAGCTGTTTTTTAAATCGGCTCCCCTTGCAGACCAGCTCCCACCTGCCACCCCACTGACAGAGGCAGCAGCATGGGATGGCAGGGGGTTCCCTGGGAGTGCTCTGGTTCCCAGCCCCGCCCCCGGAGATTATCAAATAGTCATGTGACCGCTAAAATTTGATACAGTAACATGACTCTTCAATTACGTGCTAACATGCCTAGTTTAAAAGCGTTAGAGGGGTAGCCGAGTTAGTCAGTAAGTGGAAAAACTTAAAAAACAACCAATATTGCTGGTTGTTTTTTAAATTTATCCCTAGTTTAAGTTATCCACTTCATTCCGCACAGGTCAGTGTGGGATTTATAGCTTGTGGAAAACCTCACATCATTCAATAGTAAAACTTGTTGGAGCATTGACAAACTATTAAGCAAGTCTTTTCCTGGCTTTCTTGACTGGGAGGAGGGAACATCAGGATGAGGTAGTGTCAAAGCTAGAGGAAATATTCTGTTTAAAAGAATGAAGATGGCTCTCCTTTTCTGACAGAGGAGGGTGGGTATAATAACAGTACTAATCTGGCTTGTCCCTTGCTCATGTGGAAGGAGAAGCAGAAGCATAGTGACTGGGTGGAAATTTCACATTTGTGTCTTGCTGAAATCTTTTCTTAAAAAAGTTAAAGGTTTAAAGATTTCTGGAGCAGAGGGTATGCTATTTCTCTCCCTTAGGTAGATACCATAGAACATTTTTTTTCACTGCTCCTGCAAGAAGACATAATTACCAGATTTAGTTTGCTCCAGCTCCTCCATGCCAGACCTAGCCATTGAAGGAAATGCAGTGGAGAGAAGCCACCTCTATTGGGAATCTCTGTTGATGCATTCGAAGTTATGGGCAGCAGGACTAATTCTCTGGAACAAACAGAAGGAAGAGGAATGGAAATAGATGCCCCTTCTCCTATATGAGAATTAAATGCCTCTCTCAGTTTTGCAAATTTCATTGGCATGGCCAACGAAGCACAATTCGAGTTCCTCAAACAAATGAAAGACCTGCTACTCTCTTACGTATATGTGGTACTTCCATTATCATGAATAGTAGCTCCAGTAGGATATGGGGTAGTAGTATAAGGCAGAAGGAAACTGCCTGTGAGATTCACAAGATAATAGCGGGGGGGGGGGGAGGGAAGCTTTTGATAACTAGTGATCTTGAAGGAGACCTTGAATTTCTACAGCTCCTGTTCTGGTTCCTTGCTTTTGTTTGCTTTATTCAGCAATGTTGGATAGTAAGAAATGTTCAAAATTTGGAGGAAACAATTACTTACTTTTAAAAATACAGGCAGTCCCCGGGTTACGTACAAGATAGGGACTGTAGGTTTGTTCTTAAGTTGAATCTGTATGTAAGTCGGAACTGGGAGACCTTGAATTTCTACAGCTCCTGTTCTGGTTCCTTGCTTTTGTTTGCTTTATTCAGCAATGTTGGATAGTAAGAAATGTTCAAAATTTGGAGGAAACAATTACTTACTTTTAAAAATACAGGCAGTCCCCGGGTTACGTACAAGATAGGGACTGTAGGTTTGTTCTTAAGTTGAATCTGTATGTAAGTCGGAACTGGCATCCAGATTCAGCCGCTGCTGAAACTGATCAGTTTCAACAGTGGCTGAATCTGGACACCAGTTCCGACTTACA